GTACATCAGATTTATAATTACAAAATTATTTAGATACTTAAAAGGTTTATTTAAATATAAAATGAAATATAAATTTCTATGTTAAATCATTACAAAATTAATTAAATATTTAAAAGGTTTTTTTAAGTGAAAAACGAAATATAATTGATATTTGAAATAAATATGAAAGTAATTAAATATTATTAAATGTCTGCTTTGCTGAAAAATAAAATATATTTATATTGTTAAGAAAAAAATATGAAAAGATTGTATTCAGATTTAATTTTGAGAAAATATAGGAATATCTATTTGATTCTAGAATAGTTAAATCATTCAAATATGTATGCAAAAATTCATTTAATTAAATTTTTAAGGGATGTTGCAACTAAAAAACAAATCACAAATGAAATGAAATTGTGACTTCTATTTTAATAGAATAGACTAGATTTTGACCCGCACTTTCAAATCGCGAAATTATTTTCAAAACAAACCAAATTTATATGATATAAATTTGCATATTTGAATATGTATCTACACTTAAATATTACACACGACCGTTATATTCAGTGTTTTTAAACACAATGCAGATCCGTGGTTAAACCGAGAGAACCGATAAGATTATATTTAACCATTATATTTTTTATTTAAAAAGCTCATTATTTAAAATTTTAAAAAACTCACAAAAATCCGCTAAAACTTGGGACTCAAATACCGATTCAAAGCGCATGATTATTTTCAAAACAAATCAAATTTATATGATATAAATTTTATTTTTGAATATGTGTCTACATTTAAATATTAAACATGAAGTGTTATATTCAGTGATCTGAAACATGATCCGGACCCATAATTAAACCTACAAAAATGATGACTTTCTATGTAACCCAGCTTGTTTTTTTTTTTTAAACACGTTATTTAAAAGTTCTATAAACCAAATTTATATGATATATATTTGTAACTTTGAATATGTATCTACATTTAAATGTTACACATGAAGCGTTATATTCACTGTTCTGAAACACGATCCAAACCCGTGGTTAAACCGACAAACCGATGACTTTATATGTATCCCGGTTTGTTTTTTTTTTAAACTGGTTTTTTTTTAAATTATATAAAACCCGCAAAAATCTCGCTAAAACCTGGGACTCGGCTACGGTTCAAAGCGCGTGATTATTTCGAAAACACACCAAATTTATATGATATAAATTTGTATTTTTGATTATGTATTTACATTTAAATGTTAAACATGAAGCGTTATATTTAGTGTTCAAAAAATCGATCCAGACCCGTAGTTAAACCGATAAATCTGATGATTTTATATGTAATCTGGTTTGGTTTTAAAATAAAAAAACTCATCATTTCAAAACTCTATAAACCCGTAAAAACCCCCCTAAAATCTGAATATAACGGGGGTGATTGGTTGGGTTGTAAGTGTTGACTTTAGCTTTAGTTTTTATCTACAACACTTAAATCACCAATCATGCTTTATCTTATTTTTTAAAGCTACAATCAAAAACTAAAAAAATGGCTGTAAATCCTTATTTTCTAAAGCTGCATCCTTTTTGATGTAGATAATATGTTGCTGTAGCAATAAATTTTAAAGCTACATCTCTTACAGCTAAATCAAAAAAATCTACAGACTAATTTCTATAGTAAAACTTTTACAGCTACAGTTCAACCAATCTTCCCCAACTTGTTAAGTTACTTTATATTTATTACTTAGTGTAGTAATTTAATTGTGAATATAAATTATGTATATAAATTTATTTCTTATTATATAAATGAAAAATGAATTAGTGTTCATTTTTAACTATAGTTAATATTAATTATGAATTTTATTATTTAAACATAAATATTAAAAAGAAATGTATATTTAAATTTTAAATAAAGAATATTAAAAGATACTATTGAAATCTAATATTAGGAAAAGATATTGAAGAATATCTTTTTAGATATTTTATTTTGAAAATATTAAAATAATTGATTAAACATAATATACATTTAAATGATAATTAATTTAGTTATAGGAGAATACAAAATAAATTAAATAAATGTAATAGTCCAACATAGACTACTTGTAAATAGATAAAATGTGTTCATGTTTTAATAGTATTGATGTATAAAGAAAAAAAATCGTTCATGAAACAATATAGAAATAAGAGAAGAAATAATTTTACTCTATTTATTCCAACCAACTGTTGTTTTAAGAAAATATATGTGACTTATTGTTATAGCTAAGTTAGAAAAAAAATAGTGAAAGTAAATAGTTATATTATTAAAATTTTATAATAATTCCACAAGTATATAATCTCTAAAGGAAATAGTAATTTTTTGTAATTTTCTTTAAAAAATTTTATCATTCGTACATACCGCTAAAGTAGGTTTACCCTAGTTAATAATAAACAGTTGTTAGTTATAAAAAAAAAAATATTAATATTAAAACTATCAAAAGTGAAATATTAAAAAATAATTTTAGAAATTTTAGATGATGATTGTTTGACAAAGATAAAAAAAATAAATTATATCTTTAGTGTAAACATAATTAGGAAATAAATTTTAGTATTTTTATGGTGATGAAGGAATTACAGATTATTGAGCAAAAAGAAAAAGGAATTACAGATTTGTTTTTGTTTTTTTGGCTAGATTCTGTTTTTCTATAATTTTGGGAGGATCCAAAATAACGATTTATTTACATAATCTATACTATTAAATCAAATGACTGTTTTGGTTTCTGCCCCTGAATTTTCTAGGAAATTACAAGATTTGCCTCCTTCTCTTTTTAAAATATTGCAAAACTGGATTTTTTCTTTTTATTAAATGGGCTTCACGAAATAGGCTTCAATATTTCGGATCTGCAAATGGGCTATAACATCTTCAAATGTTATAATCCTATACCCTAAACTCTATTCAGATAATCCAATACCCTAAACTCTATTCAAACCCTATGCAAACCATATTTACAATCCAGTTCCCTAACCTTATTTTATGTACAGTAACTGAAATGTGATTTATAAATACTAACTCTATTCAAATTAATCCAATACTAATGTATACAATCTTAGTTCTTAAATAAATCCTATATGTTATGCAAATTCACACGATAATGAAAATTCCGAGAACTGAAACCCATGTTAAACAACTGATAATTTCCAGTAAG